AGTGACTAAGCACAAGCCCGCCTGTGCTTACCTCGCTCCTGGGGACTAAGCACAAGCCCGCCCGTGCTTACCTAGCTCCCGGAGACCCGGTCCCTCTCGGGAGAGTAACAAGGGAAAGTGTTCAGTGCAGATCAGTGAGTAAGCACAAGCCCGCCTTGTTTCAGTACCTATGCTTAATAGTAGCTTTTAATTTAAAGTTTCACTTGAGGTTTCAGAGAACTTGGGCCTGAGTATATAGTACTTTTTAGAGTTCTATTTCAGCTGGTGGTCCTATGATCAGAAGTTCTTAACCAGAAACCCATGGACCTCTTGCAGATCCATGGATAGGTTTCAGAAGCCCATGAACCTCTGGAAATTGTAGGCAGTGTTTGAATGTGCTTCCTCCTGTGCTCAGTTGGCAGATGTGAATGGAGTCATTGAAGAGGAGTTCACCATGGCCCGCCTATACATCAGCAAGATGAAGTCGGAGGTCAAGTCCCTGGTGAACCGTAGCAAACAGCTCGAGAGTGCCCAGATGGACTCCAACAGGAAGATGAATGCCAGCGAGCGGGAGCTGGCAGCCTGCCAGCTGCTCATCTCCCAGGTGGGCCACCCAGCCCTCTTCACTGTCCACCCTTTTCTTCTTGAGATCTGTTTCCTCCATGCTCTTACTGATGCTGGCAGGGAGGAATAGGGGCATTTGATGGGCTTTGCTTTGCATAACACTGGGACATGGCCTTCTCAGGCAGTGACCACCCAGATTTGTTCTCAAAGCTATATTTTTGTTGAGAGAATTACATGAGTCTCCCACCCCCCCCCCCATTTTTTTAAAAAAAATTATGGTATGTATATATGTAACAAAGGAACTCTGGTAGCACAGTGCCTCAGGCATCTGACTGCTAACCAGAAAGTTGGTGGTTCAAACCCACTAGCCACTCTGTGGAAGCAAGACTGTGCAGTCTACTTCCATAAAGATTTCTGCCTTGGAAAGCCAATGGGGGTCACTATGAGTCAGAATGGACCCAATGGCAGTGGGCTTTATTTATTTATTTATTTTAATATGTAACAAAAATTCGTCATTTCCCCAGTTTTTACATATGCCTTTCAGTGACTTTAATGACATTCATCATGTTGGGCAACCATTACTACTTATCCATTTCCAAATATCCCATTACCTTTAGCAGAATCTCAGTGCCCCCAAGCTCCTTTTAAAAAGAATATACATACAAAGAGAGCTCTAGTGGTGTGGTTAAGGCTTTTGGCTGCTAATCAAATGGTCTGTGGTTTGAACCCACCAGCCACTCTGTGGAAGAAACATGAGGTAGTCTGCTTCCATAAAGATTTACAGCCTTGGAAACCCAATGGGGGTCACTATGAGTCAGAATCAATTGGATGACAGTGAGTATGTATATGTATATAGTCTGTCTCATATTTTCAAGTAAATAACAGAAAACAACAAACTCCTGTCAGTTAAGGCAAGATTCCTTTGTCTTTTCATCTCACCTGTAGATCTAATTTAATATGGGAAAATAGAAACAAACTACTACCACCACCATTTCATTGAGGATTTCCTATGTGCCTTGTATTGTACTAAGTACTTTACATGCATTATATCACTTGATCTTCAAAAAAGTCCTGGTTTCATTACTGTTTCGATTATTCGGATAAGGATAGTGAGGCTTATATTAAATATGCTGCCAAAAGGCATACAGCCAGTGAATGGTGTGTGAACCCAAAGCCCATTCTTGCAGGGATTTCCAAGCCAAAGGGCACAGTTCATTCGTTCAATGAGGACAACTGCTCTTCATGCTATTGAAATGACATTTTCATTTCTAGATGATGTTTTCAGAAAATAGTAACCTAGTTTCTGGCTGCACTGATATCGGAGCTTGGTGTTTGGGTTTGAGGTTTCTGTGAGTGAGCCGGTGTTGTTGCTTGCTGTCTTATACAGGCTTTAAAACAGTTGGAGGCGTTGGTGGGTAAGAGATAACCAGCATGGGTTGGTGCATCAGATTAGTACTGAGAAAGAGAAAAGCTTACTTCATTATGGCATGCTTTTAAACATAATGATATGCAATCATGGAAAAAACCTCTGACTTCCTTTTCCTCTACGGTAATGATCTAGGGATGCAAATAACAACAATAAGCTTCCATTTTATAACTAGCACAATTAAAAGTGTACCCAAAAGATATTATTCAATGCTTGAGTCATAGTGAAATGGATCTATTCAGGCCTTGTTGATAAAAGTATAATTTGGTCAGTCCTTTTGCATAGCACCTTGGAAATTAAAAACCATAAAAAATGTAAGTATACTTTGGTTGAGTGATTTCACTTATGGTATTTTTCCTCAGGGGTGATTAACGATATTAAAAGCTTATGTGCAAAATGTGGAGTGTAGTATTATTTCTGTTACAATAAAAATAATTTACCCAAATAATCTATTGCTATACTGATAATATAAAGTTGCTTAGAAGAATACTATGTAGCTATTATAAAAAATTGATAAAACCTAACCATTTGGAAAGTGTAATTATATCAAGCTTAGTGAAAATGGAAATGCTGAGTTGTATCAGTGCTATGCTTTGCAATTTTGTAAAATATGCATTCATTTAGATAAGACCAGGAGTCTAGCAGGAGAAAGTGCTTGATAGAATGGTTTATGGGTAAGAGCAACATCATTTTTATCCCTGAATTTCCTTGACTGTTTGATATTTCTGTAGTTTATAAAAATTGAGAAGAAGAATCATAAACATTGGGGAAAAGCATCCCTGAAGTTCTGTTCCAGTGATTATTTTTTTGCTCAGATGTCCATCTCACCTATTATACCAGTAGCATGTGCTCTTGGGCAGGTCTGCCCCTACTGTTTGTGGGCCATCACAAGAGTTCAAATAAAGGCTCCATTGCCACAGCCTATCAGTCTTCTTCCATCTTGACATACCAGCCTCCACATCCAGACAGCTACCCCATGGTCATCCCTTGGGCCTATAGGAGGACAAACTGGTGGAAGAGGCAGTGTAGACTCTGGAAGTGACCTTAGAACCCTTTAAGCAGGAGTACCCAGGTCCCTAGTACCTGGAGTATGATCTGGTCCCACTGGATTGTATTTTCTTGAGAGGGCATTTCCTTCGATTAGGGTCACCAGGATCTTGCTGCCTAAATATGACCTCTCCAGGGGGAGTGTCCTGTATGTAATTCATCTGCCTAGCACTGGCTACTGTCCCTGTTCAGCCAAGAGCCACCATTCATGTATTCATTCTGCTGCTATTTATTACATACTTATTATATGCCCTCATAAGATCCCTGGGTGGTTTAAATGGTTTGCACTCATCTACTAGCCTAAAGGTTGGCCGTTCAAACTTACCCAGTGGCACAATGAAAGAAAGGCCTGGTGCTCTACTTCTATAAAGATTACAGCCAAGTAAACACCCCATGCAGCAGTTCTACTCTGTAACTCATACTCTGTAACCATGAGGTGGAATCGACTTGACTAAAACAGATTTGATTTTGGTTTATAAGCCCTCATGAAGCTGGGAAATGCAAAACAAGTAAACAAATAGATAAGCTAAATCATATGGAAATTAGGTGCTATGAACATTGGAGCCCAGTGATAAGGAGCCAACCATGACAATGCCTGCAGGGGAGGGAAATGGTAAATGCAAAAACTCTGAGATAGGAGGTGGTGTGCTTATAGGACAGAAAAAGAAAATAAGTAATATTTGAGTTAGGAAGTCAGATTCCGGGGGTGTTCGAAGAATGAGACCCTCAGCACAAGACATTTTCCCAGCCACTTTCTCTCTAGCACATTCTATTTTTGGATCAAGAGGAAGACCGGCTTGGCCTTTGGTATCCCACATATAGTGGAAGTGAGGAGGGGCGTGGCCAGGAACAGGGTCCATGGGGAATGAGCAGAGGAGCATGTGGACGAGAGAGGACTGTCTTAGTTCACAGTCCTGAGTCCCTAGGAAGAAGCAGTGTGTGCCTCCGTTTGGGTGGTGGTGGTAAAAAACGGCACTCAAGAACTCCATTGCGTTTTCCCCTCAGATAGGCCCAGGGAAGCCCGACTGACCACTCACCAGTCATTCACTCTTCCTTTTTATCTGTTTGCTTGTTTAAAGCATGAAGCAAAGATCAAATCTTTGACAGACTACATGCAAAACATGGAGCAGAAGAGGAGGCAGTTGGAAGAGTCCCAGGACTCACTCAGTGAAGAGCTGGCTAAGCTTCGAGCCCAAGGTAAATAAATACTTGACTACTTTGCAGATATCAGACTCTTGGTCTGAACCACATACTTTCTAGTTGACTGTAGTCTGGATGTTTAGTTTCACTCAATTAAGGTATTTCTAGGTCTATTGACAGCTGTGGCGTCATTGAGAAGAAGAGAAGAAATTTCTAGAAGACTGCCCCTACCCTGATCTGTTCCACTTCCCATTCTCTCTTGGTCCACTCAGCTGTCCCAGTCAGAGTGCTCCCTGCTCCCACTTCCTGCAGTCAGTCACCAAGGCCTGTCCCTTCCATCTCCAGATGCTCTGGTGGTTCTGCTTATCCCTCATTGCCAGTGGCCCAGGTTAATTAAGGTCACCATCAGTCTCTGTCTTGCCTGAATAATGGCTACTCCATTTGCCTAGGTGCCCCCTCCCATATCTTCAGTCCAGCCACTGTGCTGCATCCAAACGGCTCATTCTAAAATTCAAATACTGCTTTGTGTCAAACACCATGCTTTTAACCTTTCAGTGATACCCCACTGCTTTTAATATAAAGTCTGAACTTCAACATTGGCTTACCTGGCACCTTCTACTCTGAGCAAGCTCTTCCCCTTGCCAGGCAACCTCCCCACCTCCTTAGTTTAGGGAAGTGCCTGACACACAGAAAACTGCCCCCATCCCTCCCCCCCAGAAAAAAAAAAACTCAGTACCATTGAGTTATTCCAATTCCTACTACCCCTATAGGACAGAGTAGATTTGGCCCATAAGGTTTCTAAAGCTGTAAGTAAATCTTTACAGAAGCAGACTGCTACATCTTTGTCCCACAGAGTGGCTTCTGGGTTCGAACCACCAACCTATCAGTTAGCCACTGAGTGGTTTAACCATGGCACCACCAGGGCTCCTTAACACACAGGAACCACTCAATTATTTTATTTACTCAATTAATAGGAATAAATAAAAGTAGGAATTGAAGAGAATTGACTAGAAATGCAGAAACTAGACCAGGAAGACCGTCAAGGTATGCATTGTGGTAAAACTGGAACAGACATGGTGGGTTTCAATATAATTTGTTGCAGCACTTTTGGAATACTATTTGGAAATACTTATTAATAATTGTAACATTTATCATATCCTTTGATCCTCAAAGCTTAAATATTCATTGAAAGATTATTTATATTAGAAAAAAAAGGAAGCTATCTAAATGTCCACTAGTTGAATAACTTTGGTACGTTGTTTAATAGGGCATCTTTTTTTTTTTTTTCCCATAAGGAGATTAAATACATGAAGGCTATGCTTCTAATACAGTATTAGGTTAAAAATCACAATACATAATCTTATCTTTGCTGTGGTTGTAACAGTGAAAAACTAATGCATGATTGTGGTCCAATACCTAGAAAATAATATTTAAAATGAAAATGTTTTTTTTTTTTTCCTTTGTCATATGTATGT